AAAACCAGTGTGGTCAAGTGTTTTCCCGACACTGGTCGTACTCACCAGATCCGGGTCCATTTGCAGTTTCTAGGATATCCTATTGTCAATGACCCCATCTATAATTTGGACGCCTGGGGTCCCTCTAAGGGCAAGGGTGGTGAGATTAATAAGACAGATGAGGAACTTCTGAAGGCTTTAGTGGAAGAACATCGTTCCAAACAGAGCTTGAGCATCTTGGACATTTCAGAGGAGGACTTGAAGCCCATTGTGGGAAGTAAAGAATGTGACAGTTCAGGATGCTGTACTGAGCCAGTTGAGATTATGCCTAGAGCTGTAGATTCCTGCAGAACTGATGACTCTAAGAGTCAGAGAGAAGCTGAAATACTGGCTGCTTCACAGAATTCTGACACCAGGCTAGAAACACATGAAGCAAACCCTGAAGGAGCTAGTAAGAGTGGGAATCAAGATGATCATTCAGAAGAGAAGGACCCTCTGTGTGAGGATTGTAAAATAGTGAGGCAGGATCCATCTCCTAAGGAGTTAGTAATGTACTTGCATGCCTTGCGCTACAAGGGAGCAGAGTTTGAATACAGTTCAAAGATGCCAGACTGGGCTCTGGAGGATTGGGATGAGAGCAAAGAATAGATACTGAGTCTTTTTTGTTTCTTTTTAGTTTTGTTGGAAGGAAAGTATTTGAATCCTGAACTTGTGTGTGACAAAAATACCTCATTGGAACTACTACTGTCTTCCATCGTTATTTGTGTTGTGCCTGGATTGCTTATGAATTTTGAGTTGGTGAGAAGTGTTCTTCCAGATTAGTCTCAAACTCTTACCTAACAATGAAGGGAGGAGAGGTGGTTAATCCAAGACACTTTAATTATGTTTTTCTTTAATATGGCAACAGTGATGGGAGACAAATATTATTCAAAGGTGGGAAGACTGGAACAATCACTTCCTCTTCCTCCCCTTCTCACCACATGTTTGAGGTACATTGTTTGCAAACTGAATGCAGTTGCTTACTAAATGCATACAACTAAGACAATCAGCATAATGTCTCTTTTCTTGTATGTCAAGTTATCTAATCCCTTGTCTTTCTGGATAAGAGCTTGTGCAATATTAGTCAATCTAAAATACTTCAGGTCTCTCACCTAAGTCAATTTCACGTATGTTCTTAATTTTGTTCATACCAGGGAACTGTGCAGGCTGGTTATTTTCCTGCCAGGTAAATAACATTTTATTTGGAATTCTGTGGCATTCTACAGTTCTTATCAAAAAGAGGTTTCCATTCTCCTGTGCATTTCCAGCTCCCTTTTTTGTTTTGTTTTGGTTTTTTGTTCTTGCATTGAGCACAGTCTGTTCTTAAATCAGCTTTGTAAAATTTCTTGGAAAAGCATACTGCTGACTAAAAATTCAGTTGCCCAAAGAAATGGTCTACAATGCTGTTAGTGTCCAGCTCTGTAGATATTCCCACCCAAAACAATCCCTACATAATATTAACCAACCTGTTTCCTTTTCCCTTTTTACTTCCTCCCAAACAGTTTCTCTCCTTATTACTACACCCCATTACCCTTTTGGGTTGTACATATCTTAACTTTCTACTTCTTGGGTTGTACAACCCTTTTGGGTTGTACATATCTTAACTTTCTACTTCCATGTACCTACACACAGGGCTTAGAAAATTGCCAGAAAGCTAAGTCTGATGTGGAAGGTGGCAGGGGCTTGCTACTCTTCATTCTTCTGGCTTTTTTGATGGCTCTAAGGAGTCATGTTTCTGCTACCCTAGCATTCGTTTTACAACTCGTAGCCTTAATAGAAGGAACTTCAGTATCAGCCTCAACCATTGCTCAGAGACTTTGAGAGTTGCTGCAGAATTATACATCTGATTGCAGCAGTGATACTAGCAAGATACAGGGTTCTGAATGATAGAAGTAAAGCTGACAGTAGCAGTACTTAGGTTAGTTTTCACCTTGCTACACCTTGTTCTGAAAGCTGTAACTCACGTTAAAGGCATGTGGAGAAGAAAGTCAGTCTATTTATGTGTGTAAGACTTTTTTAGGATATAAAAGTTTACCTTCTGTGGGAGGGCTTTTTTGAAGGGGAGGTCAGTAGTGTATTCCCCTGGACATTTTTTTATTTGCCATAAGGGATTTTTCCATACCATTACCAAAATAATATGGCTTATGTTGGTAGATGTCTGCTGACTCCTTTGTACTTGCCCTGCATCAGATAGTAAACCCAAACCTGTACAAGCCAGAGCATTGCTGGTAAATTTTGTCTGATACTAGGTAATCTTTAAGGATGCCGAGAATTCAGCTAAAACAGAAAAAAGGGAGTGTGGGAAATTTTTGCCAGAGAAATCCTCTCACCACCCAGTGCTTTGTCTGATTAACATGCATTAGTCCTTTTATTATTTACTAGAGGGCTGTACCACCTGCTCACTACACTCATCAACCCCCCTCCTCCGGGAGTAGGCAGCACCGGACCTCCCTTCTCACCACCAGGCAGGGCCCAGTCCAGGCCACTCCAGCTCCCCCCCACACCTGTACTTCAGTTTGATCCTCTGCCTCCATTCCTATACTCACCATCCTTCCTATCCTACCCCCTCCACATACCACACTGCCTATCCCTCCTCCCTCCATCCTTTCACACCCATCCCCCTCCCTCCATTCCTATAGCCCCCTCACCCCATCATCCACCCCTCACCCCATTGCCCATCCCCACATACACCCTTTCCTTCTTCCCTGCACACACCTTGCCCCCTCTCATGAATTCGTTCAGCTGTGCGTATTCCCCCACCCCTGCCCCCAAGCATGGCTGGGCAGCTCAGCCCCCGTTACTTCAACAGCAGCA